CACAGATGGACAGTGCACCAGCAATAGAAAATGTGAGAAAAATGCATACAATGGTATAGCTATTTTCTATTATCACCTTTGGCTATACTGCATATATGTTAGGTATAAAAATCAGACCCAGATGTGCAGAGTTCAAGGTAACTTTATTATCCTCTGCCTCTAATACAGGAATATCTCCAGTCTGGCAGCCTATTCCTGGGAACAGATGTGGTTGAGGGTTGGTTTCGGCCTTTTGTGGTTGCGCAGTGACTCTAGGCTAGCTATGCACTTGATCCCTTCTCCCTATCAGGCTGGATACGTCCAGCATCATACCACTTTAACACTGATGGCAAATGCCCACACAGAAAACCAAAGCAACACACAATTAAGCAGGACACAATTAAGACAAACTTGAAAATCATCTCACTTTAGACTAATTTCAAGAAGTAAACACAATTTTCTTAGACCAGATGTGTCTCCAACAATCTTGATGAACAACGCAGATTATTGGACAAAGTTTGTAGCAGTAAAGACTGATTAATTTTAATGAATAGATCATTTGTAAAGGTAGTATATTATAATTTGGAGGGAAGGAGGACCTTTAAAATCAAAAGATTCTGTTCTAAAGAAGGGGAATAAAAGAATCCCCCAGTTTTACAGTTCCAATATTGTTTACATGAGTTTTCTTATCAAGGCATTTACCATCAGGCAAGGGAAAGATTTGGGCCTATTATTATTATTAAAGGATACTATTTTAGTGAACAGTATTACAAAACTGAGGAAAGACTTGGTAATATGGACAATGAATACTAAGAAATAAAAACTAGTATCAGCATGAAAGGTTTTTCTTTAAGTTTGAGGATAAGTAACTATTAATTTGCATATATTCCTTAATTTAAGTAGGCTCTGTTTGGATTTGTGATTTAAGCTTCTGTAACACAATCTCATACCTATTATGTATTTGTTTTGCCATTGACACTTGTTTACGAAGCTTCATAATACTGCTTTTTCTTAATTCTTGAATGGAAAATTTGCAGTATCCTAAGTTCGCTGAATAGGCTTTTGTTTCTTCTTTAAGTGTACACTCAGCACAATGCTGTTAGATCCAGTGCTAAGTAAGGACATTGCTTTATCAGCACAAAAAATTCAAATTTTTATCAAGTTAAACTCAGGTGACATTTGTTACATTTCAGTACTATATATAGCCTTTTTAGCAATTGGTAAAAAATTTAATAGAATTTCAAAGATACTGTAACATGGAATTACTGTCTTGGAATTTATTGTAAAATATGGCCTTACCATTCTCAATATGTTGCAATGTGGATAGTTTTATCTTTCTCAGGTATCCTATTATGTTGTTGGAAATAGCAAAAAAACAAAACAAAAACCTAACCCATGAGCACCACTAGTGACTTGTGATTGATGATTAATCTGTTCTTATTTGCACGCGCGTGTGCGTGTGTGTGTATACACAAAATGTACATTCAAATGCTCTGACCTCTGTGCACCCATTGCTGTTGAAAATAGTTTCTAGTCCCTGGAAAAAGGTTTCTCCCCTCTGTAGAATTAATATTTTCATCATTCAAGCCATTTGTCCAGAATGGTAACGGTCTCCTGCTTTTGCAGAGGGTTGGACTGGGAGATCTCCAAGGTCCCTTCCAATTCGGTTATTCTGTTATCATCCAGTTTTTATTTGTTAATTTGGGATTTACCAAAGATAGTTTACTCTGGAAGGTCAATATAAAAGAACATAGATAACTTCAGTGGTCAGCCGTGTGTTACAGGGCCCCACTCTTCTTTCCAACAGTATAAGTTTTAAAATGAAGATGCCACTATGCTTGATTCAAGAGTTTTGCACAAAGAGCTTTAAAACTGACATTATCAGCTATCCTGCTCCATTTTTATAAACGTTCGAACCCAATCTTTCAAGTAACTTTGAAAAGTTCTACAACAATCAATAATCTGCCATTTCTGTATTTATTACAAACTCAAGAGAATAACCGGCAATAATGTGCAAGTTAACCATAGAGAAATATTTCCAAAACAGATTACAGTAAATGAGTAATTGTATTCAATAAAAATATTACGTACTAAACTTTGAGAATTCATTTTATCAGTATATATTGATAGGCTGTGAACAGTGCTACTGAATGTAATATAGATGCAGATATTTAGGTATTGCTCATAACGGTGGTTGGCAAGAACCAGAAAATCGTTGCTATAGTAGGACTTCCATTCTGTCTACTTGTTTTGAGAAAGCCATAGTACCGGTATACTATAAAGCCTCAGTATTATTGCCTAAGCAGTGCTGCTGCTTTTTACAAGTACCAGCAGGCAAGACCTCAGGTTAGGGACAACTATAAATCGGTGTTTTTCCAGAAACCTGCCCTCTGTGAGGAGCTAGATAAAAGCAGAAGCATCACGTACCTGACACTGTGAGATAAGCTCTTTTATTGTACATAAGAAGCCATACAGGTGCTATACACATGACCTTCCCACTGCATAACACAGAACTACAGCTGTCTATATATGTCATCTCCATGTTTTAATGCTCAAGTCTGTTCCCTGTCTTTTCAAATCAAAAGATTTTTGGCTTTTTCTAGCCCCGAGGTTGGAATGTACCTGTTCAGTGTTCACACATTGGTTCTCTCTGGCTCTAGCTATGCTAGTTCCCACCACTCTCCCCTTCAGCCATTACCTAAGAAACAGTCTCTTATCACATTTTATTGAATCTATTATATAGCACAAAGCGTACTTTTCTGGGTGATATTGCTGAATTTTTGATAGACAAAGTGTTGATGATCTGTGAATAAAATGAATGCTAAAAAAACAGTTTTCCACCTGCATAAGCTCTTTTAAGTTGGAGTAACTAGATTCAAGTAATATAAACCCAAAGTCAGATGTCTCTGATTTTGAATTGAATATCTGTGAATTTCTGTCCTGATAAAATGCAGAAAGATATATAACTTCAAGCAGTACTGTATAATTAGCTTTATCTTCAACAAATTCTTGTTCTCAAAATATTTTACTTCCCGGTAAATTTTGAAATTGGCATATTTACATTCATAACCACTACACTGCACTGGAGAAAACAAGGCCTATAAGACCTGTAAAGAAATAAAAACAAATATATAAGAAATAATAAGTCACAGAAATTAAAGACATGAGATAAGAAAGAGAAATGTAGTTAAACCTAGTTTACCCAAAGATCTTATTCATTTTCTGTAGGTGACATTTGTACTGGTCACTCTAGCATCCAGTCCACATTAATTACCTATGCTTGATGTATTTCTTACTTGTTTTACTTGTTAAGCAATCCATTCTCATTACAGTCAGCTTCTTTTTTCTTGCCATACCCAACTATCACTTTCATCACAAAATGAGCAGAAGCATGTTCTCTTTCATTGTTTTCATAAATACTGATTCCTTGAAGAAGGTTATGTATTATCCCTTCACATTTCTATCAGCATTTGCACACCTTCAAATGTTTCAATTCATGTGCTTATTTCATTTAGGAATAACTTGGAACAATTCACTTTGTTACTTCACAAACGCAACTATCTTAATCTTGACACTAATTTTAGAGCCAAACTCCTTGTTGCATTGTGCAACTTCATAGTCATTGCAAATCATTTGAATCCTTTGCAGCACAAATTGACTGCACACAAAAGTGCATGGCCCCAACCATCATATCTCTGACTTCACCACCAGCTTCCCCTATAAATTTATCCATAAATATATTAATCACAAGGTAACATCACAGTTTTCTGCTTAATGTTGAACTATTTCCTGAACTTTTTATTTTCTATGTGGTTTATTTTCATCACGTACTATTGTTGTTTCATTCAGCAGCATATCTATATGTACAAAACATTCCACAATTAAAACTGATTAACTTTTGTCATATGCTTTTTCAGAACAAGCAGACATACAATAAACTTTTTTTCCACATTCAAACACTTAAAAGACCCATGAAGAGGAAAATTGTGAACTTTCCACTTCTATCTTTCTATGTTTCATGTTACTTTTACTTGTGAAAAGAGTTAAATGTAAACTTAAAGATTTATCTGGAAAGAAAATAAGTAAAATATTTATACAAAATATGTCTGATTGCGCCTATTAGCGTTTACCTTTTTCCTGGCTAAGATTTGACCCTCCTATGTGATAGTATGTCAGAGTTCAGCTCATTCAAATTTTTATAAGTAAACTAAACAAATGGTTTTTGGCTCAACTATGGTAAATATGATTGCTTGAAATTTTCTGCTTATCTACCTACCGAAAACTGGTCTGAACCAGTCCATAAATACACATGGGCTAAAAATTTTCGAAGACACCTGTCTTATTAATCTGAAAAATAGTTTATATACAGTAGTAAATGTTGCTTTGCACATCCCTTTGAATTAAAAAATTGCAAACGTGTTTTCTAATTTTCTCCATGAATAATATATAAAAGATACAGTATTACAGAAAATACCTTGTATAAAATGCTGTGACTTAAATTGCCATTTATTGACAGCCCCTTTAAGGGAGAATTGTCTTTTTTTTTAAAAAGTAATTAGAACTTAATTTGTGTTATAAACAATGGATACTTAGCACAGAGTAATGGAAACCCTGGTAACTATATTCACAAGGGCACAAACATTTCACAGTGGTAACTCTTATCTTTCGAGTCCAGAAGTATACTCCTCCCTTACAAGATAAAACTAAAACTTCCAGCTAATTAAATAGAAATATACTTTATATGTATGTATGCTGTATGTTTTATGTTCTTTAAATTATCATTCCGTTATTTTTATTGGTTTATATTCACAGTTCACAGTCTCAAGAGTATTTCTAATGACTGGGCTGCTTTAGTTTGTTAAAATGTACATCTTTAAAACTTTTCTCAGTTGTTAGCTTGCTGGTGTTTGAACTGTGCACCACCCAAGTTTAGTATGACATCATTATGCAAAGTAGCACAAACAGACCGGCTTGTAAAGTTCTTCAAGGAAGTTTGCACAAGCATCTGGACTTCTGCTTGTGTCCATTAAACAGAAGACTTTAATCAATGTGCTGGGAATGGTAAAACTCAAGCATGGATTTCTTTAAAAAAATTGTGCCTTCTGTCACGTCAGATATTGGAAATGGGGTTTGTGAAAATTCTCCGAAACTATTGAAAATGAGGCGCATCAGTTTGTTTTCATTAGGACAGACTTTAGATGAAGATGGCATTCATTTTCTGCATTCCAATTACAGTATGTATTGATACACCTTGATTATGGGAAATTTGAGGGCTAGTGTAATTTTTAAAAGATAGTTCTATTATCTGAACTACGGCAAGTAGTTTTCTTGCCTTGAAAATGAATTTGTGTACCATCTGGTGAAGAGCTCATTTATTTAAATGGTGCTCAAATCATACATCCTTCTGTCAAAGGTATCTGGCTGCAGTTTGTAAATTACTAGATGTAATGTGGAAAGTGTAATGTATTGATGCTGAATATGGTATCCTTTCTGTTTTTGTTTTATTTTTGTTTTATTGATATAATAGCTATGAGAAACTAGAAATATTTTAGGTTTCTTGCTTAATCCCTCTTTCGTAGCCCTGGTCTTATGGAGACTACCTTTCAGTAGTCTTTAAATGTGGCATTAAATTAATCAGTATGAGTTTACTTCGGTTAGATCAAGCATTGTTGCTCTGTTTAGATTAGTTTATTTGGCATACATTAAAAGATTACTGGCACTTTTAAATGCTGGTTACATAATTATAAAACTATATTTGTAAATTTCTAGTTTGGATTCAGAGTATCTTGCCTTCAAATAGGGGAAAAATAAAAAATCAGAGGGCCTGGGTGCCTTTTATTCCCTTGGCCTTTAGGGCCTAAGATATTATTAAAGCCCAGTTTGTGCATTTGTTTGGTGCCAATCAAAGAGTTCATTATTTTTATTTGGAATGTATTTTTAACCTATTTATATGTATTTTATTTTTACTTTTTATGCTTTATTAACTACCCAGAGTTATTTGATTAAGATGTGCACATATTTTTTAAAAATAAATATTTTATAACTTTCAAAACTACCTTAGTACAAAAAAATGAAAGTCAACTGAAGAAATTACTGAAGTAACTATAAGAAAAAAATTCCATTTGTATTACTGTCAATTATTTTGGAGAAGAAAGAACAATTTACTAAAGCAGTGAGAGCTATAGTAGAAGGAAGAAGTTGGCAAATATAATCCCCGTTTTCTTATTCTAAGGTGCTTGCAGAATTTAACCTGAAACATATTTCTCATAAGTTTGGGGAACAAACAAGGTGAACTTGAAGTATTAGTACATGAAGGCAAATGTTATAGTTGCCATTACTGAAACTTGGTGGGATGAAACTTATGACTGGAATGTACTCATGGAAGGATACAAGCTATTCAGAAGAAACAGACCTAACAAAAGAGGAGGTGGAGCTGCATTATATATAAAAGATCACCATTGGCAATGAGATTTTGTTTGATTGATTGATTTCTATAGCCCCTTAGTAAATGACTAAAACATATATTACTATTTTAAAAAAGTAAAGAAAAATATTCAAAACAGTCATAGTAAAAACAGTAGAAAACATTAAAACATTTAATTCAAAGTACACACAAGAGCAAGATATCTGGCCGTTAACATTATAGTCAGGAAATGGAGCCCTTGGCACATGTGACGCCCAAGACTTCGGAGCCTAGCAAGGTTTGTAGGGGCTATTCTAATCTCCGAAGGAAGGATGTTCCATTGAGCAGGGGCCGCTGCAGAAAAAGCTCACCTTCTAGTTCCCGCCAAACAACATTCTTTGACTGATGGGATCTGCAGCATGCCTGTTCTATTTTACCTTGTTGGATGGGTAGAGACTCTGGATAAAAAGGTGGTTCATCAGATACTCAGTTCTCACGTCATATAAGGTTTTATTGGTAACCACTAGCACCTTGAATTGTACCCAGAAACACAGTGATAACCAGTGTAACTCACGCAGGATTGCTGTTACATTTGTCATATATCTGATATTGGTTACTAGTCAGATGGCTGCATTCTGCACCAGTTGAAGTTTCCAAATGGTCTTCAAGGGCAGCCCAATGTAGAGCATATAATAGTCTAAATTTGGTGGTTACAAGGGCTTGAGTTACTGTGAGCAGGGCACAACAGACATACCACCCCGAAGGTGTGCAGAGGCCCTCCTGGCCACAACTGCCACCAGGTCTTCGAACAGGAGCCACAAGTCTAGGAGGACCTCCAGGTTGTGTACCGAGCCTGTTTGGGACAGTGCCACCCCATCCAGAACAAAAAAAGGAATATCCTTGTCTCTGGGGAGGGCCAAATACCCACAGCCATTTCGTCTTGCTAGGGTTGAGTCACAGTCCGTTTTGCCCCATCCAGATTGCATTTTGATGTCTTCATGTGAGCTTTTCATAACTTGGTGGGGCAAAACATTTGAATGGAATGCAAGGATGAAAGGATTTAACTAAAAGAATTAGCCAGATCCCAGGTGGCAGGAATATTGAAATCCAGGCATTTGAGCATGTAGGAAACTATCTTTTTAATTTTTTTTCAAGCAGAGTAGATTGTTCAGAGCTATTCCAGAAAGCAGGCCAGGGAACATTGAATTGAAATGAAGTACATTTTATATCAAAATATTTTCAAATATGTAGAGTTCCACAGTGGAACAGGCTACGTTGATTCTCTTTTGCTTGAGGCATCCAAGCAAAATCTGGATGGCCATCTGTTGGGGAGGCTTTAGTAGGGGATTCCTATACTGGGCTTGACTAGGTGATTCTCATTTCCAATTTTTATATTTTGTGTCTATGATTACCAAAAGAATAGCTTCTGAACGGTTGCTGGTCTCAGAGGGGAAGCAACCTATTTACTGGTGGAGCCAGTAGCAATCTTCTGCAGGACATGATACTTCAGGGAGAGGAAGGGTAATATTTTCATCTGGGAAAATAACATGGACATAAAGTCTTAACACCCTCCCCACCATTTCAGTGTCGCATTGCTGTAGATTAACCATGACGCAAATGGCTGTGTTTAATATGTATGTATTGTTAGTGTTAATCTGAAAAATCTTTTAGTTTGGTTCTAAGTGCCTACTGCACATTTGTGAAAAGAATAATGATTTGTGCAGAATAATGATTTTGGCTTTTTTCTGAATATCTTTGAGCCTTGGTGAGTTTAGAATCAACAAAAATTTGGAAAAACTGGATTTCTTTTTTCCTTTTTTCACTTTTTGAATCTTACAGTTGATATTCTGATTTTCAGGCTGAAATATTATATGTACGGTGGCATAGCAAAACTGCAGGTGGCAATCTTAAGCAATAAAGTGAACTAAAGGTTTTTAAGGTTTATGTAGGAGGTAATCTTCCTGGTTGGGTTGAGCAGTTGAGATAAAAAGCATAAAGTATTCTAATTGCTTGGTTGAAGATTAATCCTGTATTTTAACTGTTTAAATGCTGCCAAACTCTTGAGTCATTACAATTTCTCCAATTCAGTTTGCATTATTGCTAGCCAGAAACTATGCAAACTTATGAAACATAGATTTATTGTAGTCTACAATCCTGCTTTTTAGAATAGTAGACAGAAGCTGAATCCTCTTTAAATTATCTGCTTATTTCTATTTTCGTATCCTCATAATGCAATGAAATGTTCCTAAGGCATACAGTCATAAACTGCTGAATTACTAGTGAAATGTTGCTAGAAGATGGGGACCTGAGACAGGTAACAAATAAAATTGAACACAGAATCTTTTGTAAGAATGTTTTAAATGTGAGAATGTAGTTATTGGTTCTATATGTGAATGGAGTACTCATAAGCATGAAAATACTACCTTAAAATTTTGAATATTTCATTTATATTTATTGAAATAGTGGGGGGAAAGTAAGCATGATTGAATGCAGATTAGCAACAATGAAAAAAATGTTTTTGACAAATTTATCTTTGGGACATAATAAATTTCAGCTCACTGGAAGTTACCACAGATTTTGTAACTAAGTAAGGGTATAAGGTTCAAGGTCTTAACTTGAATGAACTAGTTGCTCTATTGCAGGAAGAAGTTATTCTGCAGAGATCTACCTATGAATCAAGCTCTATGTACAAATCAACCCCAGGTTTAAATCATAAGCTTCTTTCTTTATTTAGACGTTAACAGGTTTCTTAGCTATAGTCATATTTTAATAATCAATTAAAAATATATGAATACAATAAAATATCCAATATTTTTAACTGAAAAATAAATTCAGGCAACAGTAAAACAATTCATAGACTTTCCAAAATAATTCATTTTTAAAAATTGCAGAGAGCCAATAACGTAGAGAACAATCTGATTTCAGCACAAGCTTGTTCCATAACCCAGTAATGGGGAATTCAAGACACTTTCTGTTAAGAAGAGCCAGTTGAGCAGATCAAATATGCTGAAGAGGATAATTCTGCAGGTATTTGAGCATCAAGCCACAAAGGGCTTGTTGTAAGTCAAAACCAGCATTTTAAATTGCACCTGGAAGCTGATAGGGAGGAGCCAATGCAGATCACTGCCGTAACATGTTCCTTTTCATGGCAACAGATGGAATGGCTATTCTTTTCCATTCTTGAATACTGTAGATATCAGGCCATGAGTACATAATAGCCCTGTTTGGACTAAGTATGAGTTTTGCCTCACCAGCTTCAGTTTTTTATAATATCTAGCTAGCTTTTAATTATTATTTTTTTACATCTAGAAAAACAAAATGTTTTAACACATGAAATTAATAACGATAGTTTCAACTCCTCTAAAATAGAAAAATAGTTGTACCTAATTGCAAATTGTAATTGCAATTGTATATTTTGGTTTATAAGAATGAAATATTGGATAGAGATATAATATAAAAGTATTGCAACCTGATAAATGAATATTGTTTATAAATTAATTAATAGATTATGTTATTGTTATAGATAAATTATAAATGTCTTTATATTTATATTTGTGTTCTTGATGCATTTTTCTTTCACATAGATATGTAAAGGAATTACAATGATTGATAATTGTCTTCAAAACTGAGATAGCAATGTGCAAAAAAGCTCAAAGCAGTACATATTTTTAAAGACAATAAATCGAGAAACGCATGGCAGTAATCTATTTGGTAAATGTATCATTAATTATAAAGTATATTGCAAATATTTTGCATAGAATATTAAGAGAAGCTTTGTTTTAACAATGGGTTGTTCAAGAAAGTAAGCCTTTAAATGAACCAAAATAATTG